CCCAGAAAGTAATAGTTCAGATAAACTTTAAGTGTATATACAGAGTAAACCTGCAAATAACAAATGGGTATTTTAAGAAATTGCTGTTATTGACCTTCCAGAGACTACAGAACGTTCTTTCCATTCCGGGTTTTAAAGCAATGTCAGGGTGGTGTCTGAAATGCCACTTGTTTACACTCACAGGAAAGCTCCCTCCTGCCACCTGTCCCTGTTTCAGCAACAGAAATAGAATGCAGGACAAGGGTTTGGGAAGTGAAGTAATGGGCTTGATGTAATAGATTTGGGAGGCACTTGTCACTCTTGACAGACTGAAATAGCTGCAGATGCCCTCAGCGTGCCACCTGGTTCACTAGTCAGACCTATTTGATTGCTTTATGCTTGGAGAGCACTGCATGGATATATTTTACAATAGAAAATAGAGATCCATTCTTTGAAGAAAGCTAGTCCATGACAGATGGACTTCATTTCAGAGATAAGGTTATTAATGACCTCTGTGAGCTTTCAGGGAACATAAGCAAAGTTTGTACAAGCTTCTTAAAGTCTTAAGTACCAAAACAATAAATGTACAACTCAGCCTGTAGCCATCTTACTGCAAACTGATCATTCTACATTGGTGATATGCAGCTAGCAATGATTTAATATAATAATAATAATAATGTCTTAATAATGATTCACTGTGTCATAGAAAAATGCCTGAAGTAATCATTCATTGTGCTGTGTCTTGTAGAGTTTACAAAATAATGATTAGTATTTAATTTGGCAGACAAGTGCAAACATTCATTGGCTGGATGACACAACAAATTCTTTGACTAGCTCTCTAGCTTTCACTAAAGCTCTATCTGCAGTATCTGTTGAACAACGTGCCAGATAAAAGGACACTTCTTTTAATACATATAAAAAAGGAGTGGTTAGGAGGCCAATGAGGTATTTTAAAGAAATTATTGGGTGGCCTGGTCTGTCTTCAAAATCAGAAGAATAAATGAGAAAAAAAATCTTCATATGCTATCTGTAAAAATACAAATATGTGGAGTTGGACTTATAAATTTATTGATCTGCAAATCATTTCTAACTCCAGAATTACAAACAATTTTCATCAAAACATCAAAAGGCTGCATAGAGGACAAATTCAGTAATGTGACTACTTTTCTGTTTTGTAATAATTCAGAGATTTTTTAGCTGATTATAAAAATACAGAGAGGCTCTTGCTGATAAATTCAGAGTGCAAAGGACAGCTCAAATAATGCTTTTCTAAATATGGTGAGATTAGCCAATTAGCTGTAAACATTAATTCTTCTTTTTTTTTTTTTTTCTTTTTTACCTGCATGCTTGCACTTAAATTGTAAGACATAAACTGGAAGCTGTTCACATGTGTTATCACCACATAACATTCTGCAGTGGAGACATAATTGATGGTTTTGCTGATGGTACATTAGGCAGAATTTAATTCATTTTCTGTGGGCTTTCTGCTAGCTGTGGTAGAACTGCAGTTTTGAAAGATGGAACATATGCAGACAATAGCAAAGTTAAGTGCTTTTTATGCATTTTTATAGTAGTCTATAAATGCTGCTGTTTTCTTCTAGCTAGTACGTATGTAACAGACCCTTTAAGCTTGTCTTTAAGGTGAATTTCTGTTCAGAAAGATGATGGATCTAATGCTAACAAATGCAACACTACTTTTTTCCTACTGTTTTTTGCTGCACTTAACCTTACCCCCTCTTGCAAACCAGTGAGAGGCTGGGAAATCCAGCCAGATTCTTCCCCAGCATCCTGGGTGTGATGAGGCACTTCCACGAGTCTGGGGACTGAACGGTTTCCTACACATTTCAGAAAGCAAAACTTAAGTTCTTCCTAGAACTTCCTGTATGACAGAGAGATACCTGACTGCTCACTCAGCTTGCACACATGCCAAAGGACAGAGCTAAGTATCTCCTGACATAAATATCCTCTTAATCTGTAAGCACACAATAGGCTCCTGTTTCCCTCAGGCCTCCTTTTTCCTTCAGGAAAGAGCTTGTAATGTGCCTTCTGTAGCAAAATGATAAACTCAGAATTACCAGTGAAGACATATGGACTTAAATAGGCTTATACTGATCCAGCTATTTTGTGTTCAGTACAGAACTATTGACTTTTGTGATTGCACAGTAAAGAAAAAGCATCCCTTTCCCACCTCAGGTATTCAGCAAAAGCACACTTTTAAATATGTTAAAGTATATACAGAACTATTAAAAATTGATTAAGGTGTATATCTGTTAGAGATGAACTAATTGTTGGAAAATAGTTACTTTCAGCATTAATTCATTTTAAGCTTTCTCATAAAAAGGACCAACACAAGACTTATGAAAGCTTTCAGGTCACTTGAAGCTGTCAGTGAGCACTTTGGCTGCATTTTCTCAGTGCACGAACCAGTTACAAAAGCGGAACCTATTCAAGCCCTTATTTAGTCTTAGATTGCTTGTAAAATGGCAGAACCCCCATAAGAAGCTGTGTGCCTGCTACTAACCAGTTACAAAAGCGGAAGTGAAAAAAAGGGAACCTATTCAATCCCTTATTTAGTCTTAGATTTCTTGTAAAATGGCAGAGCCCCCATAAGAAGCTGTGTGCCTGCTACAGAAGCACCATGTGGAACAGAACTGTGTGCTGTGCAGTTGCATGGGCTTTGAGAAGTGCTGAGAAGCCCACGTTCTTCCAGAGGCAGACGCTGCCGCACGGTCACTGTGTCCCACCCTGGCTCCCACACGCCTGGCAGTACCAGCCCCTCTTCTGCTGCTGCTTGCAGCCACAAGCCCGGTGAAAGCCATCCTCAAGGTGACAAATAGCAGAAAGGGACCATGCTGACACGTCAGCATAAAGAAACACTTCTGGTTCATGGAAGTCTAAATACTGTCTCTTAAAATGAAGCACTGCCTTAAATTTGTTACCAAGGATGTAACAAAATTGAAGCTACTCTTCTAAGTGATTTGGCTGCCTGTTAATTGAATATTTTAATGATATTTTAAAACACAGTCTAGAATGTAAAATCACACAAAGATGAGTGAAAAAGTGTAAAAATCCCATTATACCTGTTCAAGTAAAACAATAGAAGCAATTGCCTGAACAGAACTCCAGTATTTGGCAAACTGCAGGTGCTTCAACATCTATTCTTAGCAATTCCAAAAGTATTTCATTCCCTTAGTTACTGCATTACTGGGTGTTTTCATGGTATTTAGCTAATCTTGCAGTCTAGCAGGGTCAATACTAGGTCAATATGTAATGATTTGTAATGAACTGGTATCTGCAGCTCTTGAGACCAGACATTATTAGTGAGGAATAATGACTTGCCATTTTCTACATGTTTTATTTTCAGTTATCAAAATGCCTGGTAGTGAACATGACATTCCATGCTAGCTGCAGTTTCTCTACCTTATCAATCAGGGATGTTCACAGTGAGTTTTTAGGAAACATTCTTTTTTCTGGCTTGCTTTACAGAGAGCTGGATACATATAGAAGCAGAATGCTGAAGGAGGCCAATAACAAAGACAAAAGCATATTTTATTCAAGAGTACTTTGTATTGAAAAAAAAATAACTAATGTCCAAAATGTCCAAATACTACACTGGTAGCATTTTATGCAGCCTAGGTCAAGTATTGTAGCCTTTATATAACATTTTCTCCTAAAGAGCCACAATATTCAATAGGAAATTTAACCTCACAAAGAATTGTATTCCTTTATAACTGTCAGCATTTATTGTTATGCAATTGTGTGGTCCTAAGACAAAGCGTAAAATTGAGACCATTATTTTAGCTAATGGCTAGAATAGACTGTTCTTCTTGTGTAAAGATAGAACTTTAAGAGGCCAAGTGCTGTTTTACACTGCTATTATCAAAAATGGTTAGCTGTGCATAACAGCGGCTATTAGAAGAACAAACTAGAGAAATAAAGTAAGAGCAAATCAAATCATTGTCTCCAAAATTACAGACCAAACTTTATCAATGCACTGACCCACAGGCACCCTGTCTGGCAGAATAAACAAACATTACTTAGCCTTTCCACACAGAATCATCTGTTCCCTGCCCTCTTGCACACCGCCTTGCAACATGCACATTCTCCCTATAATGATTTTTTTCTACATGCGACACTCATTTTTCAGGCACTACTGCTTTCAGAAAAAATCTGTATGTTATGTGAGCTACCAAGCTGCATTACCCCTACACTTTTGTAAGAATACAGATACGACCATATTGTGAGAGACCAAAGAGCCATCTAACGTAGTTTATATTTCTTCAGCCCTATTCTCAGCCTAAAAAATATATAATAATCAGGCAATCAAGTGATATTTCCTGCAGATGTTTTCCTAGCCTCCAATAATCTACAGCTTATGAATTTCATGAACCAATGACATTATTTTTATATTTAATACACCCAACAGATTTTTCTCTATGCTTCTTAAACCCCTGTAATCTTAAAAGATTTCAACATCTTCTAGCAAAATGTTCCTCAGATGAGCACATTTTAGGTGTTTGAGTCTACTGTCCATTACTTTCTGGAATCTAGATTATTACCATCTATTGCTTTTTATAAACTTCCTTATTAGCTGCCCTTGTATTTCTTATAGGAGCTAGACTTTAATTAGAGTGATAAGGCTGGGACTGTGTGGATTTTTCTCTGTCTTTCCCCCCAGTTAGATGAAGACTAGGAGAGTCTAAACTGTTGAGACCCTACATACTTGAGTGACCTCTTGGTTTGTATGTAAATCCATACCACCACCATCACCACTTTGTGGTTTTGAATAGTCAGTATTTCCTTCCTTAGAGTGAGAGTTTCCCGCTTCCATGCACGCACATACTGCTTCCAGCCCCAAAGTTCCAGACTCCAGCAGTACCAGCTGCTAACACTTTCACTGCAAATATATTACTTTATTTAAGTATATAATTCCTACTAAACCTCTTTTATCACCATGTAATAAAGTGAGAAAAGGCAAAATATAGCTATATAATGAAAACAAAAGGGTTTTGGTCACTTACCACGTGAAGATAAGACATAATAAGGTGGATATTAAAATGAGGACTTGATTAAACATTGCAGATTGTGTGCGTTGTATGGCTCTGTGAAGATCATTCTATATTAATGGAAAATAGGTGTTATTTTTGGATTTGAATTAATAAAGCATGAGCTAATTCTATAGAGAAATTATATAGTGCCCTCATAAAATGCAGTCATTCAAATGCATTGAGAATGTGCTGATCACTTAGAGGGGCGCAGCTGTGATTCAGTGATTATTTAACAGGTTCTTCGTTCATTCTGCCATAATTTTGATAACGCTGCAAGCTGCCTTCAGTTTTGTCCACTGACGTCTAGCTTACAAATTATGTGGGCTGCAAGGACCAATTAGGGCAGAGCAATTCAGTTCCCTCTAAATGTGTGTGAATGGAAGAGAAGCAAATGAACCAGCCAGTCTCACTTGTTGGCATGGTTATGATAATTCAAGATTTCAGTTGATGGTTTTTTTTTTCTAATTTTGATGCAGAAAGCAGTTTTAGCAACACTTGACCATTTCTGTAACTTAACTACAGATTGATTAGTTTCCTAACAAAATCAGACTATACTGCCAAGATCCCATTCATAACAATTAACATATATTAACAATATACATATATCAACAATACTTACAATCATGTTCTCCAAAGCATGTTTTGCCAGCCAACAATTTAAAAATACAGGAATAAATAGGTTTCTTAGAACAGGCCAGAAAATCTGAAAGAAAAATCAGCACATACACATTAAAGGCTCTTTTTCTTTAAGAAACTATTAACAATGAAGCACTCAGGAAAAATATATTAATGTGTTTCTAGTGTCAGATGTGGCTTTAAAATAATTTTTTGTTCCAACGTAATGGACTGTATACAAGATCATGTGATAAAACAAGGACAATCAGTTTACAGTGCGGACACCTGAGATTTCTAGGTATAAGAAATCATAAGCAATCTAGCCAGTTTATTTATTATGCTGTAACTTGAGTCAAGGGTTTGCATTTGTCTCCTCTGTGCAAGGAAAGGGAAGTAAGAAGGAAGTTACTTTCTTGTTGTTGTCTAATTCTGTTCCCACAGGCACCAATCCAGCATCCATGCAAGAATAAAAATTAGAATATTAATTTGTGCAGCTAAATAAGTACAGTGCACAAGAGTGTGTTCAAATATGGTTACCGTGATGATGAAAGGGACTGCATTAATTATTTCCAGCAGGAAGGGTATTCTCAGAATTTGTTCCCAGATATTTCCCTTCAAAGAAAAGGAAAAAAGAAAATCACATAATGCAATAATGATTCATAATGAGAAATACACATAATATTCCAAAGCTACAAGTGAAATCTCTCCCATTATTTGAATTTCAGGAGGATGATCTGTCACTAATTTACACATATATGTCAAACTGTGAGTAGAGAGGCCACTCCAGCTAATTATGTTTTCTACTTCTTATAATGTATCTCATAGGTAAAAAAAAAATATTTAAATCTTTATTTCTCTTACAGTTGTTCTCTGTTTTTATATTACCATGTATTTCCTTGCTATGACCCATTTAATAAGACAACTTAAATGAAGATTTCTAATTGCATCAACTAGGTAGCTCATTCTTTCAGCTAATGAAGAACATTAATTTTTCAAAACATTGAAAAGAATAATATATTCCTTTTTTTCTCTTATTGCATTTTTAGGCATCTTCAAATCATACACAGCCATCTTCGTATTTTGCTTTTTCATTCTTTCAAGGTTAGATGACTATTTTTAAACATTCACAGATAGATAAAGAGGTGAAGCTGCTGTCTTTAGGAATTTATTTTTACAGCAATACTAGTTTTTCAGTGATTCTTCAACAAGCAATAGGCCAACCTGATGGTGAATTCTTCTTTCTGCAACTCTTTCTAGTCCCTTTTTCTTACAAGCCTTTAAATCTATAAAATGCTATCCTGCAATTTTGATTATCTCTGTCTATGTGTGACTGCCAAACTAACATTTCTTGAGAACGATGAAGAACTCTCTGTACTGCCTTCTTATTCATGGCAAAATATAAAGCCAACAGGAATGTAGATATGTTTTGTCTTCCAACAAAAAGATACCAGCTTTTTTTCTATTGATCTTGTTTCATTAGCCTGTGCATGTTAGTCTCAGAGGTTTGGATGTCACACTGTATTAATTTTGATATAAATGTTAATTAACTAATTAAGAGGTTAGTATTAAGAAGAGAAAAAAAGTTAAGTTAGGGAAAAAACCTTTCAAGTGTGTTTATCTTCTTTTATCTTTAATCCTCTCCCTCACTACTAGTTTGGGAGAAAAGGAAGGAAGGCAGTCTAGTGCTCAATATTTGAATTAGAACTAAAGATCAAAGCTTAATTCTGCCATAGACACTTCAGCTATTTGGACCTTTATCTTGAAATGAAGGGTGCTCCAACATCCACCAGTTATGGTGCAGGAGGTTTCTCTTGATGTGCTTACCACACGTTACAGAGTGGAGATAATACTGCTACGCTTACACAGCTGAGTTGTGACTGAATGCTTAGGTGGTAGGATGAAAATCCATTCATTAAAAAAAAAAACAGTATTTAAAATTCAGTAACTTCTAGCTTTATTAATTCTGTGTATCATGAATCTATCATGCAATATCAAAATGCGGCATATACGATAATATTGCAGGAATGTGCAGTACAGTAGCATAATTCTTCTTTTTAAAATAACCATCTGATATAGCCTCCGAATTTAAACAGAAGCCACATTGTGTGTAATATTCTTTTATTTTTTCCTTTTCACATTTGGAAGTCATTGTAGCTATTGGGCAGAAATTAGTGTAGTTGGCACAAGTTAGACAAACTTCAGTAATCTTAAATATTTTGTAGGCTAGTTGTTCTGTAAACAGAAATGAAGTTACGAATTTACAGACTGAGTTTTTACTGGTAGGAATAATAAAATTGTTAAAAAGACTTCAAAATTCTGTCTTTTCACTAATTTCCTTATTTTTAATGTATGAGCCTTCTTTTCTAAGTGCTAGAAAATAATGATCTCTGTTTCATGTTTCCTTGTATTTTTCATATTCTTCTCTGAAGAGAAAATGGAGGCAGGATTAAGGAACATAAATCAATTTTTGGGCATGTTCTAGATTAGAAAATGTATTGCTAGTCTTGTCTTTTAATGTTACAGGTTTATGTATGTTCACATACAAATTCAACTTCAGATGGTAAAATTAGTCTTTCTGTTAGTAAAATAAAATACATTATTGAAATGTTATATTCAAATGATTCATATATTCATATCATTTCCATTCATCTCCCTGAAAAAAAAAAAACACAATAATTTATCTGTGCAGGCAAAATGCTGATGTGCTTCGGTGACCTAGCATTGCTTGCAGCTGTAACGTTCTGGCTCTCCCACACAAGTACATCGTGTCTTCTGCAAAACTTCCTCTTGCAATAAGAGCACATGGTACCGACTAAAGTAGATAAGGGTGCCTGTGCACTGGTAACACAGTAGGATTGCCAAATATCTGTGACAAAAGTTTTGGCAATGAAAATTTCTGATGCAGAATATAGTCTTTTTTTAGGATTTTGCAAACCTCATGCCGTGTTATGCTGTGGGAACACAGCTTGTAAAACTTTTTGAATCCAAATGATGAAGGTTTTGGATCCAAGTGATCTGCTGTGTAATACAGTGCAATGCTCTTTGCATACTCCACCATATAGAAGCAATAAAACATGCAAATTCATTTAAGTGTCTTCTAATAACATGATTATCTCCTCATTTTTCTGTGTGTCAGGCCAGTTCTTATATCAGAAAGGTAAATTCTTTGAAATATTATCTCAAATGACTATTTTATTCTTCCCTGAGGTTATCTGTAACTTATGGTTATATGTTTGTGATAAACAAAATCATCTTTTTCTTCTTGTTTTCTTCCTGTTTGTCTTCTCACCTGTGCCAAAATTGTAAAAGCTCTGGAATGTCGGCATGAAATAAGCAATTTGTCTCAAGACTGTTTCGGTCATCCTGGCTCTGCAGAAAGACTTTACTGTGAGTGAAAAAATTAGTCCTTTTAGCTTCCCAGGAAAGGTGTGAAACTGTGGTAAATGCTCTATCATGATGTTGTTTTCAGACTCTTAAGCAGGGTTCCAGGACCCAAGGGGAGATGTGTTGGCATTAGGTGGATTGTCAAAGCGCATTTCAGTACAATTCTTCCTTACATTATTCTTACATTCTTGAGAAAAGTAGAAAAAAAAAAATATGGATTCCTAATATTGTTTCATCAGCTCAGCTTCTACTTTAATCCTGAATTTGTAAGATGGAAAGAGGCTTTTTTTTTTTCCAGATGTCAAAAAAGCTGGTAATTACGTTTGTATTACTTGTATGAAAATTTACTTAAGCCAGTCATGTAAGAATATTATCTTATATGCAAAAATGATTGCAAAGAGTATTTAACTTTTGATTACATGTTTTGGAGTTTCCTTGACCCACAGCAACTGTAGTCATTTTTTTTCTGTGAAAAGCATAAGCAGCAAATGAGGATAGGAGAGCTCTACACTCATTATACATTAGAAAATAACTCATCAAGGGGAGTTGGCTTGTGGATATTTCTTTCATCTTGTGTACTCACTGAAATCTGTACAAGGTGCAAGCACACTGGATAGGCATAAAATGTTGCTCAATAAATTCAGGGACGGTATAAATTATGGCTGTTTTATAATGTAGGTTTTAAATATAACACTATATGTGTTAATTTAGTTGGGTTGTTCCTAAATTTAACAAAATGAATGCAGTATCTGAAGAATACTCATATAAATATATTACAAAATATGACTTTTCAAGGAAAAGGCAAATACAAAAATGTAGTGTATTCACGTATTTTTATCAGAGGATTTCAAGACATTTTACAAAGATGTACCAATACATAAGAAATGGATTTGGGCAGGTAGGAAAAAAAAAAAAAAAAAAAAAAGCTATTTTGGCCTAGTTTTTTGGTGCCCAATTCTGGAAGCATGAAATTTGAGTTCTAGATCCTAAGTAACCATGCCTGTCAAACAACTGACAATTGTGTGTCTATTGCATAATGATTCTGTAGATATAAAAAATTGTGCACTTGAAAAATCAATATTTAAAACCAAAGATGTATCTCAGGGGCACATATTTCAAAATAAGAACAGCCGTCCAATCCTAGTTATAGGGTTCACCCTGTAGCTTTAGATACAGATGCAAGTCAGGCAACTACAAGTGCTTACCTTGTAGCTTAGATAACTCAGCAGCATGGTTTCAAACAGACTTATTAAAGCCACTGAAACCTTAAATAAAGAGAGAGAGTATATGTTAGTACTGGCTTCTAAAGCACATACAACATAAAAAATTACACTGAGAAGTTAAAGATTATAAAAACAGCTTTTCCATACTTCCTCTGAAAATATCTCAGCCAACAACATTAAGCTCCAAGCTTAAAAACTCTCATTTGTCTGAGTAAAGCATAGGCTTTAATGCAAGACCGTAACTATAAGCTGTAAGTCTCTCTGTATTTTAGAAATAAGTTGGATACAGTAAGCTGCATGTCTAAGTCAAAATTTATTTATTCATACTATGCCTATTTTAACCAAGCATTTGAAAGGTATATTCATTAAGGGAGTCTTTCATTAGTAAAATGGTAGATTTGATGCAAATAAAAATCATGGGAATTGCATTGCATTAAGCACAGTGCAAGAATATAATGGCATAATTATTCTAGAAGCATAAGGAATTTTTAATAGAAAAATACAAGGAGAATTCCTGGGAGAATTCCTGCAAATGAAGTATTGGAGAAATAGAGAACTTATGTAAAAGAGTATTTTATATGTACCATAAATCATGTAATTTTAGTAACCATTAGATCACTTTTAAGAGACATTGAGCATTTGGAAGTCCTGTTATTTTCAGTTAGCTGGTTATTTGGATTTCCAAAAGTAGCGACAGGGTAGTTCCACCTGTTTTTTTAAAGGAAAACAAAACAACAGAAAAAGAGTATTCCAGGAAATAAAATTACTGAAATATAATAATACAGCTGAGGTGTGTAAATCTACACTACATCTTTTGGGAAGATTTTTGTTCTCTGTTTTTTTTTTTTTTTTTTTTCGCAGAAGCTCAATACAAACATCAATCTTGAAACATTCCTTTGAGAAAAAATGTAGACTAAGGATCAGGCTATGCAGCAGTTATGAAACCAATATCCCTCTCCCTCAGTTCCCAACACAGCAATCCCAAAAGTAGTCTTCCATCCCTGAGTGAAAGAAAGGACCATTATGAATGAGTTTCTGCTTTGGGCAGTAACATGCAACACTGTGCATGGGTAAAAAAGAAAGGATTCTTAGATGAGCAGGCTCTGGGACACTGAAAACTGAACCACATAATTCAAAAGCATTCAGAGATCCATAAAGCATTTTATGTAATGCATCTACTGTAATATACTTCACTAAACCTGCAAGCTTCTATAATATGAAGTAACTTTAATTTTCTGGTAGATGTAGTGCAGAAGCCCAGAAAACATATTACAAAAGCTAATCTTAGGCAATTACAAAATACAAACTAACCATTATAGAATATAGTCACTATTAAAGCAACAGACCTTGATAATTCTAAAAGAAAATGCTAGACCAATTCTACAATATTTTTATAATGTTCAATACTTTATGAATATATTTGCAAAGCATTTAGCCTCATAAACTGGAGTCAGCCAGCTCATATCAGTGTATCTTGTTTACTTTATGCTTTCTTTGTACTCAGTCATCAAGTAGATTGTTAATATTACCTTTGCCATTTATCCTTTAACATCTCTAAAATGCTACAAGTCAATATTGCTTAGGGTTATTAAGTGGAAATAGTTAAAATTGCCCATTCATACATTACCTGTAATCCCCATAAAGGCAAACTTCGATTCACCCAAATAATAGGAGACCTGTTCATTATAATGAGAAAATAAATATGATGTTATTCAAAATCTGGCTAATGTCCTTATCGAAGGAACATGAAAAATCTTTTGTACATGTCAATGGAATTTAAAGCAGCCTCATTTTTTAAAACCAGTACTCAATAATAAAATTTTGAAATCTGTAGTTATCTCCTTAGTATTGACATTCTGTTTGTCTTTTTAATCCAGAGCCAATCACTGAGTTTCCTTGAGAATAACCTAATGCACAGCGATGCCAAAGTCTGTTATTGGCTTCAGGGCTGCTCGTTCATCTGCCATGATTCTAGAAGGAAAGCAGAAATTCTCAATTTGAGGTTCTAATTCTAGAGCTGCAGAGGAATCATTATTTGTGGTAGGACTGGCAAGTAATTGCTTGACAGCTAAGGAATCTTAAAATGTCACATTCCTGTCTCCCAGTTTCCCTCCCTACCCACCACTAAGTAGACTTTTGGTTTGTCTTTTATAAATTAGGAACTCACCAATCAATCATTCCAGGTGTGTAGTTTTGACTGGAACAACCTCGGTTCAATTCCTTGCTGATGGTTGCCAGTATATCCATGAAAAGTCCATTTCCATTAGCAAAAATTGGAACCACAGCATAGAAGAACATAAAGGGGGGAAGGGGCATTAAATGGATTATTAAAACTGTTCTATAAACTATATTATAGATTCAATATTTTAAAATACTAGCCAGTTGATATGACCATTCAAAAAATAATTTTAAGAAAATAATTCTGTATGTTTTAGACAAAGATCTACAAAGCATTTCAAGTTACATTTTTAAAAGATTCATTTACAAACAAGATCAAATGTAAAATAACTTAAAATGTATTTTCAAGTTGAATCAAGTATACAATAAAGGAGATCCAGAGATATTAGAAATCCCATCACAAAGACAGGTTGGGATACGAAGAGTGCATGTATCTATAACTGCTATACTCTCAACAGGAAAGCCTGCACCAAACTATAGTTTTATGTCCACCTGTGAGGTGGCCTGGGTGTCAAGCAGCCTTAGTAATTTGAGTGAGAAACGGTTGGCATCTATGCCCCCCAAAAAAAAAAAATAGCTGCTGTGTACATATACAGTATGATCTTCCTTTTAATTGCTAATACAAATCTTCCCTTTAAATGCTCATGTAAGGAGGTGGGAATAGGTGTAAATGATGGAAAATAACATTGCTTGTCCCTGGCAAGCATGATCAGGAGAAAAGGATTTCTGGAGCACAGATTAGTAATAGCTGTATTTTTACCCACTACAAGGGTGGGACAGGCCTAAGCAGTATCCATTAGTAAGGATGCTTTGCGTCTTAAACTCTCACTACTACTACCGGGCCTGAAGGAGTAAATGATAGATATCAACTTGCATAGCATTTCTGCAAGACAGGCAATAAATCTCCTCCCAGAACTGTCACTTGAGAAACAACTAGGTAATAGGTTTTCTGTGGCTACTTTGTCAGCACACAAAGTGGTTTCTTTTATTGGGCTATGACAGAGCACCTAGGGAGGATCTCCATGTAAGGCAGCATTCGGAGGAATGCCTGATGGAAGTGCCCTAGGGTCAGTATGGACAAAGCCACTGATGTTAATGGGATACCCTTCGGGCACAGGACTGACCTTTAGGCACAGCTGGTAAAGTTGTGGTCTTTGGCAGCATGCACACATGACTTACTTGATATTTCTAAGGCAGTCAAATACTATACAGAGATGGAACAAATGAACTTCTTCGCTAAATATACTAAAAACATATAGAAAAGATGACTACACACTGTGGTGTGTTAATTATTAAAAATGTTGCTTCCAGGAAAGGCCTGGAGAATTAAGCAGTCTGCAAGATGCAGAAAAATCTTTATGAGTGAATGTAAAAGTATGAAAGTACATCTGCTAGCAATACAAGTGCTGACATATTTTTATGCTTCCAACTTTTCAATATGCCCTACCTATCCAGACATGTTTGCCTTATAATATTATCATTTAAGCTAACTTCTTTATTAAGAGTTCTCATAACAAAACAATACCAGCAGCTTCTCCATGCAAGAAACCATCATCTGAACTATATGTTTCTTTTCTACTAGAAAATTGCATTACTTCAAATTAGATCCATGACGTCCAATTTTACTTTCTGCCATGCAGTTGTGTTGGAAGCTTTGATACCAAATGGATCATTTATTCAAAAAGAGAATAGCCAGATCATTGTTTCATTTTTTTATAAAACCCCTTAGTGATATTGTATTAGACAGTTTTAATGTATATCATTTTCAAGTTTGGGATTTGAGATTTTTTTTTTGAAACAGCTCTCTTTGCAATAAACTGTATGTGAATTAACACAGCTTTTTGTACTGTTGCATGATATTACAAAGTATTGCTCCCTATGCATACTTCTCAATATCTTAATGCTTAAATATCTCCCTGGTTTCACATTACACATCTTTTCCAATCCTGAATTTTTATGCTTCTCACTGAGGAATAGCAAATAATGTCAGGTTTAAAGCCCCGCTTTGTAATTTTTTTCCCCCAGTTAAAGCATTAAAAAGTAGCAGCTTGAAGAATCATGTGGTAATGATCCAACATCAACTTATATCAGTCACTACAATCTATGTACAACATCCTATTGGCAGAACATATTCTCAAATAAGACAGAGGATGCTGATTGACTGCATTGCTCAGGAGTGGACATACTGGGGACAAGGACAGTGGGAACTGATCATGATGCATGAACTGTTGAGACTATTTATCCCATGTCCCTGGATGCCACTGTGATCTCTGCAGGTTATTTGCTAACAAAGAGCTCCATTCAGTTGTTGCATTCTATTTATAACATATTAAAAGTAGGTTTTGGCAAGTATGCACAACTTGGTCTGAACTGTAATGGAAGATACAGGTAAGCTAGAGCTCTTGGGGAGGCTAGTGAAACAAAGAAGTAGGAACTGCTGCCTTTCTGGCAGTATTGTGTTGACCCCGTGTAGCACCCATTGCCATTACATCAAATTCATCCTGTTAGATAACAGGATCTTTGATACAAACTGCAGTTAATAAATCATGGTGCTTGTTAATGTGTAGAAGAATTGATAAGATTTAACATAGGGCATTTTAGGCTAAACAGGAAATGAACTTACAATTCTGTATAATTAATCTTGTTTAAAGTCCAAAATAGAAAGTACAATCAAAGTGCAGCATTGAATGAACTAATATCATTTTATGTAGAAGTGTTAGATTATAGTTGTTTACCTTTTTTGTGTGTGGTTGGTTGTAAAATGCAAGAAAAAAAATCAGAGTATCCATTGACCCACACAGAATACCTTTAATGCTAATTGTGGGTATGCAAAAATCGTACATTAGGACCACAGAAAAATCATTGTTATAGAATGTATTTTTGGTCTCCCTTTCTTGTTTGTTTAGGGAAAGCAGGATGGCTAGAAAATTATCATCCCTGTCCTTTGCATGAAAGCTCAGCCTCATGTATTCATCAACTTGTGCCATGGATCCGAGGTTTTAAGCAAAACTGTCATAATTCTCATATTTGTGGCACTGATAATTAAGAACCATATATGATATAGTATAATCTAAACGCACTTCCAAATGACATTGCAAGGGCTAAGTATTTAGACAGCTGGAAAAAAAAAAAAACCCTGCCAAGAAGCATACAGGTTCTTTAGCAGGATGCTTGAGAAACTGCTATTCGGTGGAAGACTCAGAAGACAACACTCTTTAGAGGCAACAGCAGGATGTTGTCATCTAGGGCTATTTCATGCCACACAGGAAGATTAATGCTCCTCAGTAGCTTTGAGGCATTAGAGCTGGTGTGGACACCACCCATGCATACCTCCTGTCAGTCTGCTTATGACTACAAGACTTAGAAGCATGGTTGGTAGATTATCTGATAAACCGTTCATTCTTACTTCCAAATCACAACTTATCCATCCATTTTTCCACGGCTCAGGTCTCCCTGCTTTGTACATACCAGTCACTGTTCAGTTCAGCATTTAAAATAAGTGTTGCAGAAATTGGCATGATGTTTAGAACTTTATTTTTGCAAACATAAATATGACACAGAAATGCTCTATGCAATACAAATGAAAGATAAATGTGCTTTTGCACAACTATATCAAATACACATGATCTGAACAAATAGCCAAGATGATTTTAACAGTAAAAAGAAACTGTTACTTTTTCACTGCTGTTTCACACAGTGAACAGTGTTTTCACACTGTTACTTTATGATTCTCATTCAAAATACAAGACTAGCTTTGTAATTCATTCAGAATATCTGTAGGACATAAAACTAAATCCCTATGATGGAATACCAAACATTTATTTATGCAGTTCATGTAGTTCAAGTTAAACAATGTTTTCAGAGGGCAGATAACAAATAAAACATTACCATGCATGTCCTTGCGCAGGATCATCCAGAAGCACACGAATTATGTATAAGAAACAGCTTAGTAGCTTGAGAGAAAAATTGAATAATCGTATTCTTAGACCTATTTTTAAAATAAAAGAAAATAAGAAATTCAAGTTCTTTATAGTTTAACCCATTTTTAAGGTAAAATTATTTAAAAGAAACTAGAACAGCCATGCTGCATCATACCAGAAATCTGTCTAGCCCAGTAACCTGTCTCTGATATCGGCCATTCCGTGTCACAGGGTAGAACACAAGAACAAGCCTCTCAGCTAGACATTTAAATCTCCAGATTAAGACTTCATCTGTATTTTAATGTGCAGATCTGTTCATTCACTCAGAGGCTATTTTATGCCATTCATCTTTGCTGAAGTCATTATTTGGACCTTCGGTAGTTTTATAACTTCATTTTTTGAAAGGAGAACAAAAAATACACATGGTTATTTGAAATGCAAAATACAATGGCATGAAGACAACATACTTTCAATCAGAGGCAGAGAATATACAATGACAAGTATTCAGGGATCAGTATCTGGAAGTCTTTATACAGCTTTTCATATGGAATACATTAATACTATCCCAAGTTCTAAAATATTAAACTGTAACTATTTAATGAGAAAGTTGTGTGGTTAAGTGCCCAAGAATCAGGACATCTGAAAATCATATGGAATATGCTCATTGAACACTGAATGAATAATTTGTTCTAAGGACCATGGAAACATGGAAGTATTCCACTTGACAGGCCACATTATAGTACTTCCTATGAACCTACGTCTAAATCCTAGCAGACAGGATTCCTTCAAATGGATCCACATGGACGCTTGGTTCTAAAAAAGGCAATTTAATTCAATGCTAATTGGAGTTAATGGAGCCATTGTTTACCGCAGCGCAACTTAACTGTACTTTAATCAGGTTTTGGAGTCATTACAGGATTAGTTCAAATCCTCAGTCTTATTATGAAATACAGTAGTCTTAAAGTTTCGGCCATGAAAATATCTGTATCTAACTCTAGATTTTAAAGGCTTTCATTCAGGGTTTAAGTTCAGACTGTTGACTAAGGCCAAATGGTGAAAGGCAACTTCATTTTCAAGCATTATTATTCTTCAGACTTCTGAGCCAAGAATGCAGTTTTGTGCAGCTGAACCCTTGTAACCAAAGCAGAATACCAGTGACTGAGCCTCAAACGGATGCGATTTAATTTGCACCAGCCATTGGTAGTATCTTTTATTACTGGGTCGCAAGTATATTAGTAGGCCCACAGAATTCAATATAATTAGTGTATGGTTTGAGGAATTGACAGTCCCATTATGTTTACCCAAACCTCTGTGAATACATTCACTTTTAAGGAAATAACCATAATTATCTTAAGGTGTTACATACTTCTTCATTTTACTCAGCCTTAAGCTTAAAATAATGCAACATAGACAAAGCTGAAAAAATCACCCTTTGTATTACCTAGCTCCCAGTCCATTAAAATGCAACTTAGAGCACTTATAGAAAAATATAGAACAGATTCTTAAATGTTCTAACATGCAGCCAATAAACAAAAATGTATTATATAATATTATTTACTACTGTGAAGCTGCAGTTTTATAAGAACTGGAGGGAACTTTATAGCATCTTGTCACCTGTAAATTAGGGGTTAAAACCTGTGCTTAGGTTAAAACTAGGAGAAATCCCACAGCTGTTAGTGGCAATTAGATTTGTGAACATTAACCTAGAGATTCCCGCTGCCTCATCAAGCCCAATTAGCCACAGACTATTTATTCCCCAGAGAAGAATAGTGAGATTATGCTACTAAGTACATCCAGAGGCTTTAGAAGGTAGGTGAGTAAATGTGCTCTAATGCTGTTATTTCAGTAGACAGAACCTTTTCTTGGATTCTGCTATAATCCTTCTTGTTGTTGGTTGGTTGGTTTGTTGTTTTTTTGAAGTGTTGCTGAAAAAATATGGTTTGGCTGTATTAATCTTTCTGTAGAAGCCTTGTGCAATATGAATGGTTGCTATACCAACTGAGCCATCATGATGAGAGGAACAGATGATGGGGCAGGAGGGAGCAGGACTTAGTTCTTTTCCTGCCCCTCCCTTCCCCCCCATATCAACTTGTCTGTTAAGTGAGTATGCAACTTTTGGTTTTATCTCTGTAAGTGTCAGCTTCAATCTGAAATGTTTTTATATTGATAGTAGGCCAGCTTCTAATAATCTTTTGAAATTATATGTTGGCTAAAGGCCGATAGGAAATGGTGCCTTTCTAATAAAGCTAAATCAATATAGGGAAGTCATGTTCTAGGTTTGTGTGTTAAGCTCTTAACTCTGAAGTCTCCTTCCTGAAAAACCTAGAGATACCAGAGCATTTAATTAAGTTCCCCAAATCTACTTACTACTATGCCTAAAAGTGCTCTAAAGCTTGAATATCTGAACAGGAATAGCTATGTACTGCAGAAGTCTAATTAGGCCTTTCACAGAGATGTTATGTCATCTAGAGGATTTACTTTACAGGCACCTATATATTGTGGATGGGTTTTTTTTTTTATATATATATATATATATAAACAAAGTTATAAGATGAGCCTTTTGTAACACATAACTGTGTCAGTCACCACATTCATGTGGGAGAACAGAAGCTTCTTCTGCTTCAGAAGATAATGTCTCCTACTTTGGCGTGTCCTGGGCATTAGAAATAGCATGCGCTGTGACAAGGAGCATATTCAGTCACCCTTGCTGTGTGTTGGAATAATTACACAGGGCTGCTAAATTGGTGTTCTCTTTGGTCAAAGTATTCTGTCAGCCGATAGTTAGAGGTGTTATCTGTGGGTTGGCAAAACTGCCTTTTTTTTTTTTTTTTTTTTTTTTTTTTTTTTTTTTAAACCAAGTAGTTCATGTTTCTGTTTGCTAGTTGACTATATTCATCCTCTAGTTGGCATGCTGGCAGTGTATCATTTTGGTCTGCCTTGATTCCTTTTTTCCTATGTATAGGCAGATTGTTCAAGTAGTATAGGCATTTGTACAGGATGTCTCTATATTTTTGACCTTGGTGCCTGAAACTTCTATTCAGCTGTATCCATCATATACTGTTAGTCCAGTTATACACTGTTTAATGAGATTATAATTTCACTGTACCCCTGTAATCTTTTGTCTTCTTTAAAAGATGACATTGCTATAAACGGTTCAAAATATACCATTAACATTTAATATAGTTGCCTTATCTGGTTTGAACAAGAATCTCTTATTTTAATGCAATTTTATGTATAAAGTGATGCATCAAATTTCATCAGCACTGCTTGCGACCTTCACTTGTGTTACAAGTTCTTGCTGCTACTTTTACAAGCATTTTGAAGATTAGTCCTTCAGTTTGGAGAGTTGATCTGATTCAAAGTGGGAGTGACATGGATGGCAGATGAAAACTTTACCACTGCCTCCTCTTATTCCTTTCAGCTGCATCTCTATCAATTGTTGTTTTCCCTCCACTTCCTTTTAAATTCCAAATCAGGTAACTATGGTAATTGTAATAGACCTGATGAAGTTTCTAATAAATCTTCAACATGTTTTGTCTTTTAGCAAATTCATCTTAGTAGCAGCTGGCTTTAGAAGTTGGATTAAAGCATATGGTTAATAATTCATATCCTAGAGATGGCTATTTTATTTATTCCTTCTCTACTGAATTGGAACTTCACTTTTCCATTTGAGACACATTTTAAGCAGTGATAATACAGTGTGTCAGCTTGCCCAGTACAAGCAAATCATCCCAATATGTCATCATTTGTTTGTAGCTGGTTGACACTATTGTTAAATGTTTTTGATGTGTTTTGTTTTCTCTTACTCCGTTATATGATATATCCACAACTGCAGAGGCTGAAAATTATAAAGAGAACCACAACATTCTATAGAGAAAAGTAGAGGGGAACAAAAACACCAGAACTGTTTGAGAACTCATACTGCATTAACAGTGACACTTTAAATGTAAACCCAGTTAAACTTGCTCATTTCCATCATAATTGGAAAGCCCAACTAAGATCTTGTTCAGTGATGTAAAACCAGTATTTCTATAATACTTTTTTTTAAGATATAACATATCGTGTTTTTTTTTTTTAAAAAAAAAAAAAAACTTGTTCATGTTTTGTGGATTGTGACTTATGTTCACATTGAACATAATTGAATTTAGTAACAAGCAGATAACTAACCAGTGGCTGTACCACTTGCATTCATATTTTTACAGATATAGCCATGTTTTAGTTCTTCGATGGTCTCTTTTATGAGGGCCTATGAACTCAAGCATATACCTCAAGGCAGCTGCATTAAATTGGACTGAAAGGCATGGAATTCATTTCTAACTGAGAACACATTTGAGAAGACTAAGTTGGTATGGTTTCCCCATCAGTTTCCTCTCCAAACTTTTGTTTTGCTGTACAGATTAAGATTTTAAATATAACTAATAATAAGAGTAAACACTTATCTACTTCTGTAGACTTTCTTTTTTTTCTTCCCCATTTTAGTAAGACTGATTGCTCCTGGGGAAAATGCTAGTTCAGCACAAAACTAGTGAGAACTCCGCAATTGTCTCCAATAGAATTGGGTTTTACCCAAAGTATCAAAATTACGCCTAACAGAAACTGCTTACTTGATCTTTGGTTTTTGATGAAGAACAGCTTCAGTCTCTCTTTAAATGTATTTTCATTCATATAAAATTCAACTTGCACCCTGAAATACAAAAGGAAGTATTAGAACACAGCATGAAAAGGTAAATGATAATATTTCAAAA